CACAGGTGTGGACCATCAACACTGAGCTCCTACCCCCTGTGGTTAGGGTGTGTTTTGATCTGAGCTTGTTGCTTCTGTTATGGTAGGAAGGAGGTTGGGTAGACGGGGGAGTGCCTTGATCTCCTCCATCACAAGATGTGTATTGGCAGTTCCCAGGTTGGATACTTGTTTAGGGAATTGCTGCTCACGCTTGAAGTAATCTAACTGAAGACAGTGGCTGTTGGTCTTCTAGAGATAAGTGTATATATAAGTATATTTTCCCTTGTGTATGTATGTGTATATGCATACATATATGCACATATATGTACATACACATATGCAGAAACCTATACAAATGTACATATATTGCATATATACATATGTGTGTGTGTGTGTGTGTGTGTGTGTGTGTGTGTGTACAGTGTGTACAGCCTTTCTTGCCTCTTTCTAGGTTCTTTGTAGTGTTGTGAGACTTCTGGCTTGGTGGGAACCATTTTATTTGCTTGCTGGGTTTCAGTGACAGGGTTCCACTGGGAAGACCAGTGGAAGACTTGAGCTTTGGAACCCGGTGAGTTGGCCTCCTGTAGACTGTCCCACAGGTGTGGATCATCAACACTGATCTTCTAACCCTCCCTGCTGTTAGGGTGTGTTCTGATCTTAGCTTCTTACTTCTGGTTTAGTGGGAAGTAGGTTGGGTAGATGGGAGAGAGTTCCTCAATGTCTTTCATCACCTGATGTGAGTTTTCATTTCTCAGGTTGGATAATTGTTTAGGGAACTGCTGATCACTTCTGCACCAATCCAACTGCAGCCAGTGGCCATTTGTCTTGTCCATATATATATATATATATATATATATATATAATTTATACAGTTATACTTATATATATTTACGTTTATCTATGTATAGGTGTGATATCTATTTAGCTATCTATATCCCAAACTTGAAATATGTTCTCAAACCACATTTAGCAGAAGGCTTTAGGATCTTATTTTTAACTCTCTTGCTCTGAAATTACTTATTCTCCATCCTCCACATTTCTATTGTTAGAAAATTTCTTCAAATATAATCATTCCCCATAGTTTATTTGTTCAAAATCCTTACTAAAAAGAGAAATCATATTCCAACTTAACCACTTCTTCTGTTTCATTGTCTCTCTTTCTCTCTTTTCTAGTCTCTTTTCTGGAGTATTTTCTTTCTTTATTTGGGGGGTAATTCTTCATTTTGTTTCTTTCTTTTAATTTAATTGTGAAAATAACATACAGAGGGGTTACAGTTACATGGGCAAGGTAATGAGTACATTTCTTATCAAGAATTGCTGCCTGCTCCTGGGAGTATTTTCTTGAGGTTACATATATGGGGCCCCATACTTGGTTTTCTGTAAGACTTCTTATGTTTGCTGAAGAATGTAGTCAACATTATCAACAATTTAAGATCTAGAGGTCTCTCTGTCTTCAGAGTTTGAACATGGTCTTACTATTCATCATAACCTGGTGTGTTCCTTAGGTTAATGTTTCAGTGTTTATAGGACTCTTCACAGATTCTAAAGGATGTCTGAAGGACAAAATCCTAACATGCTCTATCTCAATTTTTCTTCCCATAACTATGAACCCATCTTCTTACATACACAAAAATTCTTCAAACCTGCTTATGGACAAGGACAAGTTGATTGCACCCAGAAGGTAAATAAGAGGAATTCAAGCAGCCGTGGAAACAAACCAATTAAGGAAATGGAGAAAGAATGCTGTCCTCCATGCTTTCCCATCCAAAGGGTGCCAATCTCTATCCAGACAGAAAATGAACACCTTCCTGCAGTCAGCAGAGAAAAGATTCACTCTCTGGCACACCTTTCAGCTCCATAACACAAAGCTAATTTAAATATGTACCAAAAAGTCTGAGGGATTTCTGTATTTATCAGAACCCTTATTCTTTGTTGTCACACAGAAGTTTAGTGTTTAATATAGATCATCGTTTCCAGTAAATGATAGCCAAAACATCATTTCATAATAAATTAGAATGCTAGTTAAATATTTATTGATTATACACTATAGTCAAATGAGAATCTTGGATATAGATGTATTATTTACTGACAAATAATAAAATGAATATCATTTACTGACTACCTGGCCTAAGAAATAACATTCTCAGTAACATTGAAGTCTGGATTTCTCCCTTTAAGAAAGCTTGTTCAGAATAATAGTATTAGCATCTTCTTTGTTTTTCTTTAGGGTGACAGAAATACAAATAATGCATCTTCTATGTTTATAAAAATGGGATTATACTTCCTAGATTTTTCAGTGCTTTTTTGAACCTCAACATTATGTTTCTCAGATTCACCTGCATTAATGCATATGGCTGTAGTTCATTTTTGTTTCTTAGAGCATTGCATTTCTGTGAATTCAGGACAGTTTATTTCTCCTGGGCTAGACCCTGAGATGTTTCCAGTGTCTTCTGTTTCTGGATGATGGCTGTTGTTTCCCTCTTCTAGAGATGATGAGCAAGGTGTTTCATGTATACCCAGGAGAGGAGGTGTTGTGTGGCAGCCCATTTACAAATGGTACATCTCCCACTTTACCCCGCAGCCTTGGTTTCTTCCAAGGTCCTCAAGCCAATTTTCACTTCTCACCAGCACTCTAGGAAAATACCCATCACTTCACAGACTTGCCAACCCTGAGTCCTGGCACATTATGTATGTCTTCAAGTCCTCTGGGGTTTGAATTTCCTGATTACCAGTGAGATCATCTGTCTTTTATAAGTTTATTGAACTTCATGTTTCCTTTGACCTTCACTTATACTTTTCTTTGAAACGCCCCACTGTGCCCTTGGGTGGACAGTTCTTTCCAAACTGGCTCATTAGAATTTTTTTTATGTTCACGTAATTAATCTTTTCTTTATTATTATTATTTTTTGTGAAAATACCTATAGAGGGGTTACAATTACATGGGGAAGGTAATGAGTACATTTCTTATCAAGTATTGTTGCCTCCTCCTCTGTTTCCCCTTCCTATTCCTTCCCATTTCTCTACCCTAACCCCCCAATTCCCGGGCCAAAGTTGTATAGTTCTTTTTTCGACATAATGACTTGTACATCTCATTGTTGCAATGGGTCCACCTGTATCCCTATTTAAATTATTTGTTTTTTCCCTTCCCCTCCACAAATTATACTGACCTCAAATACAGTGAAAGCAGGGGTTATACTGTGGGGAAGGGACATACAAAGCAACAAAGAAATAATGCTATAAATGTGTTAGAAACAGTCGCATGAAAGAAAAAAAAACATTTGAATATATATCTTAGGGCTCATTTCCCTAACATCACCTTATCTGACCTTTTTTGCTTGATTCAGACATATACTATATATTGCAAATAAGGGAAGCCATGGGACCTATGTTTCTTTGGGCCTGGCTTACTTCACTTAATATAATTTAGGAAAAGGAATCTTATCCTTTGTCTGCTATTCAGAACCTTCACCCTTTTGATTCCTTTGCTGATGAAAGTAAGGGTGATGACCTGTTTCCTGCTCTCTCCAAGGATTATATCTAAGTGTTTTTTTCTTTCTTGCTTGCTATTGTTTCTAATGTATTTATAATGTACCACATTTTTTTGTCTGTTTTTTGCTTTGTATGTCCCTCCTCCACGGTATAACCCCTGTTTTCACTCTATTTGATGTTGGTATAATTTGGGAAGCAGAAGGGAAAAAAAACAAATTGTTTAAGTAGGGGTACAGGTGGACACATTTCACAATGAGGTGCACAAGACGCTATTGGGGGGAGGAATGTAGTTGTGGAGATCGGAGGGAAGGGATGGAAGGGGAAAAAGAGGAGCAGGCAACAATGCTTGATAAGAAATGTACTCATTACCTTGCTCATGTAATTGTAACCCCTCTGTACAGTATTTTCACAATAAAAACATTTAAAAAAATAAAGAATTCAATAGAGAAATGGCAGGAAGACCCTTACTACTGTCCAAGGGATCACTGACTATTATGATAAAAAGAAACTACTGAAGTTGTTTAAGAAGAAATTTGCCTGCAATGGTACTGTAATTAAGCATCCAGAATATGGAGAAGTAATTCAGCTACAGGGTGACCAGCACAAGAACATATGTCAGTTCCTGGTAGAGCTTGGACAGGCTAAGGACGATCAGTTGAAGGTTCATGTGTTTTAAGTGCTTATGGCTCACTAAAGCTTAAGTGAGGATTTCCTTGCAATGAGTAGAATTTCCCTCCTTTCCCTTGTCACAAGTTAAAAACCTCACAGCTTGCATAATGTAACCATTTGGGGTCCACTTTTAACTTGGACTAGTATAACTCCTTCATGCAATAAACTGAAAAGAGCCATCCTTTCTAGTCTTGAAGTCCCTTATTTAAACTGAGGTCAGGCAACAGGCACCTGGCAGTGTCCAGCCTGCAACAAAGCAATAATGTGATGTTTCAGTTAAGCCCAGAGCCCCAGGATCACAGGTGGCTATGTCTGGTCAGAAGCTCCCTCTGCAGCTTCCCCTGCCCTAAGAGAATGCTGCTATTTGAACTACCCATGGTACTCCAGAGAGAATGGGTAAGTCATCAAGCAACAGCTGTGCCACTAGGGGGAGCCTTGAGCTGGCCACACATGGTCTAAGTAGGGGGTGTCCAAAAAATGAGACCAGCCTAATAACAATTAAACTTTTGACAAGGGAACAAACATCAGAGTCATCTCTCATGTAGCTAGCTGTAGAGTTTGCAACTTAAGTAACAGCTACTCAGTGCCATGTGAAGTAATGGACTGGTTTTTGGTTTTACTTCTCCCAGTTTTAATGTTATATCATTTATTTATACTTAAATGAAAAAGAATCAATCTTTTTTCCCATTATCAGAGAGGAACCTGTATAGAGGCAAATTTGCCATATGGTGTCCTTAAGTCTCTATTTGGTCACTGAGATCTGACATCCTGCAGTTGGCCTGCCCCTGCTGATTTGCGTCTTCCCCAGAGCAAGGTCCAAGGACTTGATAAGCTGCTTACACACTGTTCAATAGAATGTTCCAGTCAGCACACAGCATGAACATGAGGAGCCCTGCTCAACTCCTGGGGCTTCTGATGCTCTGGCTCCCAGGTAAGGATGGACAATGCTAAGGATTAGTTGGCTCTTCTTGGAAAGCATAATTTACTAAATGGCTAATGGATTTTATGTTTCCATTGTTAGGTGCCAAATGTGATGTTCAGTTGACCCAGTTGCCATCCATGTCTGCATCTCTTGTAGAGAGAGTCTCCATCACTTGCAGGGCCAATCAGGGCATTGACAATTATTTACATTGGTACCAGCAGAAACCAGGGAATGCTCCTAAGCTCCTGATTTATTTTGCCACTAGTTTGCAATCTGGGACCACATCCAGGTTCAGTGGTGGTGGATGAAATGTCTCCTTTTTCTTGCTCTATTTATATATTACCATACATTATATTATATAATACTGCAATATGGATAATATTAGTGCTGTGTTCCTCAGATATTTCAATAAATAAACTAAAATGTATTATATTTGTTAATATATCTTGTAGATGTTTTCTCTTTCCTGCCTGATTGTTTTTATAAAGATTCATAGTTAATCAACTGGTTTTTAACAAAAATAGAGCACAGTGAACCACCCCAAAACTTTTTTTCGGTCGTTCTTTAGGATTGAACTCTGGATCTGGGTGTTGTCCCTCAGATCTTCAGCTCAAGGCTAGTGCTCTACACTTGATCCATGGTGCCACTTCCAGTTTTGTGGTGGTTTATTGGAGCTAAGAATCTCATGGACTTTCCTGCCCTGGCTGGCTTTGAATCGTGATCCTCAGATTTCATCTCCCTTAGTAGCTAAAATTACAGATGTGAACCACCAGCACCCAGCTACCCTAAACCTTTTTGGCATACAACCCCAAGCACTTATATTCATCAGCTACTCGTGCATTTTTGTTGGTCTTAGGGATTGAACTCACGGCCTGGCCACTGCCCCTGAGTTATTTTGTTTAAGACTAGGTCTCTACTACTTTGAATTACAGTTTCTCTTCTGGTATTCCAGTGATTATAGCTGGTGATAGAGTCTCATGGACTTTCCTGCCCAAGTTGGTTTTGAACTGAGAGCCTCAGATCTCAGGTTCCTCAGTAGCTGGGATTTTAAATGAATAGCGGGGAGCAGGTGGCTCACAGTGTTGCCCAGTCAATAGGTGGCATATTCATACATATATGGGTATGTTTCTCTATGGATCATATATTTTAAAAACATGCACAAATATTTATTTATTACTGCACATATATGTATATATATAAATATTCAGAGAAAAATACATCATGTGAAGATACACACACACACACACACACACACACACACACACACACACAATGAGGGATCTGATGAAAGGTTTTTCCAGAGCCTTTTCTAGAGAAAGATACGTAAGAATGCAGAACATGGAGACTTTGGAGTAAACATATATACACTGCTAAGTAATCTTCCTAAACTTATTATTTTCATGAAAGGTTTAAGAAAACAGAAGTAATTTTGATGACTTCTCAGGTGGTTCTGCATTGTCACATTGGTTGGATTACTTGTAGGTTAAGTACACTTCTGCACCTGTCTGTGAAAGTTTCTCTAGAGACAATTGACTAAGAGAGAAAGATGAACACCATTGTCCACAGCCCCTTCCAATAGGCTGGTGTCTCTTCTACAAGAAAAGGGGAAGGAGGAGGAAGTAGAATATCCACTCTTATTTTTGGGGGTCATGATGTGAACTCCACTACACTGTGCTCACATGGCAGACTACAATTTCTAATGTAAGATTGAAGTAAAGAATTCTGCCCTTCAAGTTGCTTTCAGTAAGATCTTAGTCACAGCAATGGAAAGTTAACCTATCTTTATAACATGTTCTAGTTTACTTTGACTATGATAGAAGATGGATGCTGATCTGAGAGCATTTAGACTCACTATCACTTAGTTGAAAGGGACAGCTCTTATTTGTAGTGGAAACTTTGTTAGCTTGTTAGGCAACAATATGTAGATATAGATTTTTAAGAGACTTTAAATGAGCAAAAATAATTATGAGTGAAAAAAAATAAGCTGAATGTGTAGAAAAACTTCTTGCATTGATAGATTTAACCTCCGGAGGGTGAGATGTGGATATAAAGAGCACAGGACAGCTGCAGGACAGCAGATGGGTTGTGAACACTGGTGTCTGGGTACAGTATTTCTAGAGCAGGATGAGAGGGGCAGTTCTTCTCTGCAGGAAGTAAGTGAGTATAGAGCCTGTGACAGCTGGGGTTCCCCCTACTGCTCCACTCTTAGCGTGGTTTCCAGAACCTTTGATTTAAGAATTCAGTAGTTTGTGTGAAAAATATACCTCATAAGTCCATTGGTGCTGAAGACACTTGACATCTATAACTAGGAACAGTGAACAACCCACATGAAGAGCAACAGGTTCTTTTTTGTGGAATTATCATACTTTTCCAGCACACTGACTTCAGGAAGCCAACACAAGCAACCTTGTAAGACATCATGACTCAAGTCAGACAAGCACAGGAGGAGCCACTGGTTCTCCACACATGCACCTGTTGTGCAACAAAGAGAGTTAGATTTTCCTTTATCACTTCAGCTCTCCACATGCAGTTAGTGATTCATATTTTGTAGAATCCCAGGGGTGACTTGAAGAGATTCTGGGATCTCTGTGCAGCTTTTATCTCTCATTTTTCTGTCTTCAACTTTGTGGACTTCCTAGCTCTATTCTTCAACTTCCTACTGGCAAATCAGGTAATACTCTCTTTCTCTGTCTCTCTCTGTCTCTCTCTATCTCTCTCTCCATTCTCTCTCTCTCTGTCTCTCTCTCTCTCTCTTACAAACACACATACTACTGGAAAAAAGAGGAATTTTATCTCAGTAAACATTTCTCATGTTAAACAAAGCAATATCCATTCAGTTTGAAGCCACAACTCTATAATGTAATACCAGGGACTAAAACTTTGAGTGTAGAATCACTGAGGAAGAAGAGGACAACCTAAAATACAAACAGAAGATATAGACTCCAATAGGAATAGAATATTCTTAATAAACTGTGAACAAATCAAATAGGAAAAATAATGAAAGCTGCTGCCATGATGGCAGACATATCTTATCTAAAACATATTCATTTTCCTAATTATTACTACCAGAAAAAATAAGATAGGTTATAATGCAACTCCTGATGTGGTATACTGACAGTATTCTTTCTGCATTACTTTTCTCAAAAAGTATACAATCTAATCCAGGTACTACTGATAAGATCTGAGATCAGAGTTCAAAGAAACTTGGGAAGGAAAGACTTTGAGACCCTGTCTCTGATTAACCAGCGAAAAAGGTTTAAGTGGAGTTATCCAGATGTAGAGCAACTGAGCTAAGGGCAGTACCTAGTCCTTGACTTCCAGTACTTCCATAAAGACACAAACACACACACACACACACACACACACACACACACACACACACACACACACACACACACCAATCAAACAATCTGAATTTAATCTATAAAAAAGGATAAAAAGACATTTTAAAATGTAATTCATAATTAATTCTTCCTTTAAAAAATTCTGGTTTTGTGAGATGTAATATTAAGAAAATACCACTAGATGGAAGAGAAACCCCACAGTAAACAAAAATGCTGTTTAGCAGTCATAAGGAAGCCATAGAATTAGTGTTCTATCATCAAGGAAGAGGCTCTGAGCTTGACTATGATAAGGGACACTCAGGAGGAGCTGCCTGCAGGCTGAATTGTGGGGAAAAGTCTTCTGTCTTTGGTATTTGGAGACTGGAAGCTGGGCCTGCTTCTATTTCCTGCTTTCTTTCTCAGCACAGGCCATCTTTTAAGAATTGATTCATATTATCCAGAGATATGTGTCCTTGGCAAAGAGGCCTTTAAGAAGTGTGTGAGGTCATGTGAGGTCAATGGAGCTGTAGCAAACCCCGTAGTACTAATACCATTAGGAGATGAGGCATTGGGTTGCTCTGTCTCTGTCTCTGTCTCTGTCTCTGTCTCTGTGTCTGTCAAAGGTATCAAGGCCTCAGAATGTTCCAAGAAGTTGAACAGTTAGAAAGACCAAATAAGATGATAGCTCCTGACTTTGCAACTTTAGAATTTTGGTTTAAAAAATACTTTGCTTTGTCTGCCCAGACTAAGATATTTATGTTCTTCATGGCAATGCAGGCAGAGTAAGGCACCAAACCAACTCTCTCTGAACAGGATCAGCCTCCCTCAGGAGTTGACTTCTGGACATGGAGTCACAGCCTTGCTTCTCTTCTCTCTGCTCTGACCTTGGGGAGGAAGCAGGACTGAGGCTTCATCCTGAGGATGCTTGCATTCAACGAGAACATTTCCTTGAAAATAAAAGTGTGAGCCTGCTTCGTTTTCTGATCAGAATCAGAAAAAATGACTATATGCAAAGTTTCATTGGTTTTGTTCGTAGATGCATATGCATTTTTTTTCTCCTGCTCAGATGCCAGTGAACACCTTATAAGGACATGGTCTCAAGACTCCTTCCTGTGTCCTAGCAAGAATATAAAGAGCATCCCAGACAGAAATCAGCAGAAACCAAGCCTGAATCCTGAACTCCTGCTCACTCCCTGCCTGGTCATCAAGTCTACTAGAGTTAGGCTGGGGTCTGGACATAGGTCACTCTAGCCATCAGCAGCTCATTGCCTTTGAGGCACATGAACTTCCTCCTGTCACCACTAGAAGGGGAAATCTCACAGTAGCTGCTGCCCTGCAGGGGGCAGCTGGGAGCCTGGGAACTTCTTTAAGAACAGGTGTTGGAGTGGAGTGGAGGCTGAGGGATGAGGGTTCAGCTCTGAAATGACATCAAGACCCTCTCCCACATCCTTCTGTTTCTCATACAAGGACACCTCCAATGATTCTGCTCTGCATTTCTGAATGAGGACTTCTCAGTTTTCTAACCCCACTTGCCTCTTACACTATGCTCACAAGCCAATTCTTCCCTACTTCTCACATAGCTGTTCTTGAGTTGAGCTTCAGTTCTTTCTCCAGATCTTGGACTCTGGCTTACTACTGTCTCTACAGTACTTTAAGAATCTTCCTTGGTTAATTGTGGTTATTGACAAACTTCCAAGGAAGTGATATATAGATAGAGGATTACATATGGAGAAGTTGTAGCCTTTCAGGAACAGATTCCTAGGTGAGCAGAGAAACCCTCATTGCTGCAGGTCAGAGAGGAGGCTGACAGTGGTCTGTGTGGTTCTTTGTTCTGTGCCGACCTAGATCCTACCAAGGTATATGCCCTGAGTGATATGAAATCCACGGGAAGTAAATTCATTGTAAATTCCTCACCCATAGCTTCTCTGAACATGGATCCTTGATATCCTGAGGTTCCAGAGCATCCGGTTTTCTGTGTCTTAGATCCATTTAGATAACCTTTCATTCTCAAAAATGCAAAACAAATTTCTCCAT